ACCTCCCGCACAACAGTCCAGCACTCTATCCATTGAGCTAACCGGGAGGCATATACACATTTTAAATTGATCATTCTACTGAAGTGCCTAATATTTATTAATCAAGATGAATCCACACAAGAAAACTGAATTTAGCAAAATTCCAAGCAAGATCTGCATATAAATCTGTCTCTCTGTGTGTTTGTCTGTCTTTCTGTCTGTCTGTATGTCTGTCTGTCTGTTTATAGGTCTATCTGTCTGTCTATGGGTCTGTCTGTCTGTCTAGATCTGCCTCTTTACAATTCAAGTCATTTCTTTGAACTAAACTTTTAATTCTGTATACATACTTCATTAAACTGTATTTACCTTCTCTTTTTCAATTTTCTTTCCATTCAATAATGATCCATTGGTACTAAAGAGAAATCAAAACTTAACTGTAACTTACTACTGACATAAGTATTTTTTAAGACAAACAATTGTGTATAAAGATCAATGCTATGAGAAGTTTGTATAGAATGGAAAACAATTCACTAAGTCACCTGAAGTCTTGAAGCCAAAATGTACCATCTGAATCCCTTGTAATAGTACAGTGATGCCCTGATACAAATTTACACCCAGGAAAGCTGATATCACAACCTGTGACATAAAACTCTAAGATTCAGCGGTCTCATCCAATCGGCGGGTACAGTGTATGTCATGGTTCATGCCATAGTTAACTATGTTCATGTTAATGTTGAGGGGTTGTAAAGGCAACCAAAGTTGCAAATAAAGGTTCTGCAGTTTATAAGGGGAGCTTTCTTACCATAAAAATATCTTTTAGGTGAGATTGACCCCACGCTTAGTTAATAACGCATATATATCACAAGGAAATCTGAACCAGCTGATTGATTGTATAAAGTATATGACATCACATGATAATATACTCATCCTTGATGAGCAATTGCTTGTCGTTTTCAGTTCTCCTACCTTCTTTCCTGCCCAATGTGATCAGCTCTTTGTTGATAAGGACGGGGGGCTTGCTATCATGAGTAAATATAACTTGTGCAAAATAACCACTTTCTGCACATTTCAACGCCATTTTGTCTAAACTTGGTTCCAGGCCGTGTCAATGCTCTGTTGGCAAGAGAAACCTGGGGCCGGTCAAGAACAACATGGCGGCCAACATGGCGATTTGTCATATCAAGAAGAATCTTACAGCTTTGAGGCAGTATCCTCGCGTCGCTTTGAACAACATCAGAGATTTACCTGAAGCATTCAAAGCGGTAGGTAATTTTCTATATTGGAGAATAGAATATTTCAGCTTACCAAAGTATTACAAATGACCGGAGTCGACTAACTAGCCCACATGTTGTCTAAACGTGTGTACAGCATTTGCTGCGTTCACAGTAGATCAGAACAAATTATGGTTGTGTTGGGTGATCTGCAGGGTACTGGGACATGCTCACCCGTGAAGTTGTGAAAAATTAAAGTAGCTTAGAAGTGCATCCTTTATTTTGAGCCAATTATTTTGGAAAGTGTTTGTCAATATTTCGAAGGAATCGCACCAGGTACAAAAGAAACAAGGAATAAATTGTATATAGGATCGGGGGATGACTATCTTTTCACAATCAATGCGTGAGACTTAAGGAAGACTAAGAACTCTGAGTCCAGGGTTCTCAATTAAACCCGTAACCCGTAACACCAGCCGTTGGTGTCACTTGTCGAAGTTAACTCCGTTTGGAGTTACCCTTGTCGAAGCGCTTCGACTAGAAGATCAATTCGTCTTTAAAATGCTAATAAAAGAACGACTTTTTGAGGAGGTAACTGAGTTTAGTATTGACTGTTAGTGTGTTTTAGTTTTCAAAATGATTAGCCTGTAAGCAGACCACAGTATGATGGATAATCACTAAGCTTTGCAAATTTTCTGTGATGTTGAAATATGGCTGCCATAATGAAGTTGTATATTCTAGCTCAGGCCTCTTGCAGATGTCATCTTCCAACATGTTTTGCTGCAAAGTGAAAGGTGAAAGGCGCCCAGCAGCTTGGCCTAAAGGGCCCAAGATACATGACCTTTGCCCATATATTTTGGCATTATGAGTGAAAGTAGCACAGCAACAGCGGTACAAAATTCAATTGAGAACCCTGGAGTCTGTCAGTATGTTGTACTGGTGTAGAGGAATATCAGTTAGCTGCTTTAGTGATACTAAGACAGTGAAATTATGAAGATGTGTTGAGAAACGCAAGTTGCTTTTTTTGTAAAGTAAACAGGAAAACAAAGTAAAATGTGGAATTGTGGTTCTAAGTCGGTGATAGGGCTTGTAAATGTCCCACAGGGCATATGCCCTGCTTTATGCCCTGTTTTTTTACCCATGTTCATAAAAATCCTCACTAGAAATTCTGCCTGCAGCTTGCACCTTTAGGCAACATTCTCAGGACCTCTATCAGAATGCTCTTTACATAGACTTCTCAACCACAAAAGATCAAATTTTTATTAATGACATATATTTTTTTCTGCATTGATTCACTCTGACAAAGAGCTAACTCTCCAAATGTCAGCTTTGAAATCCTTTCATGGTGGCTAATTTTCATTTATCAACTCAGTTGATAAAACCAAAATTGCCTTGTTGCTCCCACCGATGCAGCACCACAGTTTCTTCAGAAAACTTACCCCCTTAATTTTTCTGCATTACCAATTTGCTTTTTTCTTTTCATGTACATGCAACATATTTAATCAAACAGCAACACCGCAAAGGACGTGGTAGAGGATCTGGACGTGGGAAGACTTCTGGGCGTGGTCACAAAGGACAGGGTCAAAGAAACACAAAACCTAGGCTTGGATTTGAAGGAGGACAAACACCTTTCTATCTTCGTGTCCCAAAGCATGGCTTCAAAAACATGTATGTGTAGACATTTCCAAATACATGTAGAGGTTAAATAATTTTTGGGAATTGCAATCAGATTTTTTTTTAATTCAATCAATTTACCCATTGACCCCTTACCGGCAAATTTAACGCTGGGGGGGTAGCCCTGCGATGGACTAGCATCCCATCCAGAGGGGAGTAGAAATTCTCCTAGTCATTTCATGCTACAGAAACCAGAGTTAAGCGCTGGCCCGATGGGCCACTTGGCTCATAAACAGACTTTACCATAGCTACCCATTGACCCCTAGGGGTGACCAGCATTTACTTTCTCGATACAATATCACCCCTGAAACAAACATTAAGGTCATGAGAGAAAGGAAACGATCACTAACTAGAAAGGCCTTTGATTGTTAAACAAATTCTCTTTGTTGGCACCTGAGGAAATGTAGAGAGAACAGTATTGGGAATATTCATACTGATGTTAGGGTGTATTGGGTTACTGAATTCAGTGATATTGTACACAAAATGTCGGCAAGCAGAATTATTACTTCATCGCCTTACCAAGATACGAAAGATCTCAAAACTTCAGAACAGCTGTAATGTGGGTAGATAAGATAGCAAGCACTTTTTAGGAAACTGAAAAATCTGATAATATTGATGTTTATTGATTACCAAAATGGTATTTACATCTAATCCCAAGAGATAGATAGAAATGTTGACTTCACTGCATGTGTTACAACATCATGCTTTAACAGAAGAAGAATTTGTAGTATTTCATCAGTATCTCTCTCTTATCTCTCGACCGCCGGCCAGTTAGCCCAATGGATAGTGTGCTGGACTGTTGTGCAGGAGGCCAAGGGTTCAAGCCCCGGCCGGACCAACACTCAAGGTCTTAAAATAATTGAGAAGAATTTGCTACCTTTCTATAACATCAAGAAATGGTTAGATATTCTAGTCTTCTTGGATAAGGACGAATAAACGGAGGTCCCGTCTCCTGCAGGGTTGGGGTAGGAGACATTAATTTCCCACACGCGAGATTACTGTGTGGTGGATGTCCTCCCCAGGGGTGGCATGGGTGGGAAGATAGCAGGTCCACATCAGCAAATAGCTGCCATAAATCAACCTGCTCAAACAAATAAAGGATACATACATACAATCCTTTACTCCCAGAGGTGATTAACTTGTAACTTCTCCCTATAATAATCCATACATTATTCAGCAAATGGGTACTGAGAATACTCAAACTGATTAGGTTAATTTGTTAACTTGATTTGACACCAAATCTTTGTTACTGATCGACAAGGAAAGCATAGCAGCTAGAGGGGAGAATTAACAATCGGCTGGTCTTGAAAGTTAAACGGTTAAAAATTGTCTTTGTCCCATTTTTGCCTTCAGATACAAAATGCACTATAGACCTCTGAACCTAAACCGGCTTCAGTTTTTCATCGACAGTGGGCGTCTAAACCCCAATGCACCCATCACCATGTATCATCTTTGGAGATCAGGAGCTCTTGGAGGAAGAGTAAAGGATGGTGTTGTATTGTTGGGAGGGGTAAGTAGTTCACCTCTGCTACTTTGTTGAAAATGATGGTATTTTAACTTCATTTCAGCAGTACTGGCAAAATTTCTTGTCATACAAGCGATGCCTTTTTCTTTCTTGTCTCGGGTGTCTTGGTAACTCACTGAAATTTTGTGTGTTGGGGGGGGGTAAGGGAGGGAGGATGGAAGGAAGAATATTTGCTCTTGGCTAGTAATATTAGAGAGGCTAAAAGTTAAAGGAAATTTGTAAGGGTCAATATGAGATCCAAAGGCATTCATACATGTATATTTTGCACAGTTTATACCCCATTGATGCAGATTAAAAGCTCTTTCACTTAACCTTGGAGTTCCATAGGTGATCATGTATGTTATACTTTTTTAACCCATCAAATATTCATTATATTTTCTTCATGGCTGGTTTGTTGATCACCAACAATATTTGATGGTGTGTTCATGATCATTTTTGTGGGTTTGTCTAACTTTTGTTAAGTTGTCCCATCCAGACAACCCATCCACCCCTTCTGTGCCCATCAGTAAAATCTTTCCAATGCATGAATCTAGTTTGTTCTAGAAGCACAAGATCTTCTGCCTTCTAAAGTAATTAGTTGGGTTTGAAATTTTTAAGTCTGTAAAGTCCTGTTCCCTTAGTAAACCATCTGATCACAACTTGGCAAGGACATAATCAGGCAGTGGGAGACAGTTTGGACACAAAATCCTGTTAAAAAATAATAATTTTGTTTCCACTAGAGGCACAATTATTGGTATCGTGCATTTTCACCAAAAACAAACTTGCAATTGAGTGAGGCCAAGAAAGACATTTTTCTATCGCAAGGGTGCTTGTAACCCTGTCTCTTCCCAGATCTCGAAAGTAATTCTCCTTACTGTCTGCCATACAATTCTTATGACTTTAGTTTGGAGAATTTGGTATTAAATCAACCAACAATTTCCTGGTTTATATTTTTCTTTATTCTCATCTCTTGTCTGTTTGATATTGTGTTAATATTGTAAGGAGAAATTCTGCCTTGGTCACTCATGGGAGTTTAAGGGTAAACACAATTTATGCCTTTGATTCCATGGTAGGGTACAACTTGGTTCCAGGCTAAAGTTGATATCGAAGTAACCAAAGCATCAAAAACTGCAATAAAAGCCATTGAACGACAGGGTGGAAAAATCACTTGTGCTTATTACAACAAACTTGGCCTTCGTTTGTTACTTAAGCCAGAAAAGTTTGAAGGGAAAAGGATTCCAAGAAGAGCTCGTCCTAACACAAAGTTAATGGAGTATTACACAAGTGTTGAGAATAGAGGATATTTAGCAGATCCTGATGAACTTGAAAAGGCTAGGCAACTTACTTACCAACTTGAAAATGAAGTGGATTGACAAATAATATTTACTTGTAGTGTGGTGTAACGGGGGTAGTAAACGACGTTTATGATATCAAATAATGTAAATAATGAATATAGGGAGTTCTTTAACACGTCTCCCATATGGCCCATAAGTGCTTTACAATAAAATATTGGTTTTTAACTTCCCTAGTCTATGTGTCGAATTCTAGAAAAAAAATATTCAAAGGGCTATTCAAGCCATGAGCATTAGTGCAGTAAGTGTTTTTCAACTGAGGTTCTTAAACCAAAACAAAAGTGAACAAAATGAACATCAGACCAAAGGCAAATATCACAAGCTACCAATGAAACTTTAATGAAAGTACTTCATGTAACCAATCAGAAGTATGCAGGTAAAGGCAAGTGACTGAGTTGACTCTGGTTTAAGTTTGTATCTGATTCGTCAAGAGTGTGTCATTAGTATTTCAGACCAAACACTTATCAAAGTGAGGAAAAACCAATGTACTCCTGTTCTACCATGGAGAAGTGGATAAAAATAAAGACACTACCTGAGTGTGTGGTGGCATGGCTTGAAACTTTTGTACTCCTTGTGGATAAAAAACTGTAGGCTTTCTTTTCTTCATCCTTCACTTCATTTTTACTTTATTTCTTCAGTGGTCTTGTAGTTTGCTTCACTCTGATTGGGCAGAAAAACACAAAGATTTTCTGGCACCAATCAGATGGCAGAACGACTGCGACCGTTTGGAACTTGTCTTGTAAGACAATGTCCCCAGGGGCTCTTCACGCCCTAGCTTGAAATCGACCCACAGCCCCAGGGTCTCCGAGGATGATGTGCAGGTGACCTAATTACACTTTCATTACCTGTGTTTTAATTTTTTTTTAAGCAGAGATGCGACGTAAATGTTTAAGTTAGCTGCTTTTTGCATCTTTTAATTCAATGTTCATGAACCCTTTTCTTTGCAAAATCTTGTTTTCAGAACCTATTACTTCGTCAGAGCCAAACAAATTTAAATAATATCAATAAAAAATTACGCATTATAACCTAAAACGTCAAGTTATGTCTTGTTTTAAAAAGTGACGTTCAAAAATTTTGACCGAAGACTCCAAAAAGAAAGCGTTTTAAAAGTACCAGCGATATTTGAAGGCCTCCCTCTCGTCAATGTAGCGTTAGCTTCCATTCCCCCGTCGAAATGATTCCTGGGTCAGGGTTAGGAATGATGCCATACAGTATTTAGTAACTACTTCCAGCTATCCATGACTGTGTCTCGCTGACTGAAATAACTTAATTCTTCTTTAATCTACTGAATAGTAAGTTGTCATTTCAAACTTCATTGTACACAGCTGGGCTCTTGAAAGAAACAGAAATTGCCATGGAGGGTCTCAATGTGGTTAACCGATTGCAGTAAAACAGCCGAACAATTTAGCCGTTAACCGTAAAAATTGACCAATTTTAACCGATAGTAGTAAAAAAAGTTAACCGTAAAAATATTTCTGGTGACAATAGGGACCTTACGCAACCACGAAGCCAGAATAACCCACATCCCTTTACGTTTAGTTTTTATTTTACTCGCGCTGCAGACGATGAGCTAAAAGGAGGAAGTTCTGTGAATAGGCAAGAACAAAGGCTCGGGTATATAAAAAAGGTGTGTGGAAAACTGTCATACGTTTTTTGCAAGTGTTTGCACCGAGAATTCTATTCAACATTCTCAGTCCCTCGCGTCCCAGTGAGTGTATTAGAAGATTATAAATGCGTTAAAAGTTGTAAAGCTCAATTCTTGAATTTCGTTAAAAAAAAAAATCCAAATTTATCGCAATGGCCAATCAAAACAAGGCTAAATCCCAAGAGGAGCCATTGAGAACTCAAAGCCAAATAGATACACACTTCTTAAAGCTTGATGATACACGGGTAAGCAAATCTAAACTAACTGGCTTACCTCGTCTACCCCTCCCCCCTTCCCACCCTTTTATTTTTACTTTAAAAGAAAACAATACCTTTTGCGGGATTTGAGTTAACGAGACTGAAGTCTCGGGGAGCGAAAGATTGGGTCATAATGTTGAGAGGGAAGCTTTGTTGAAACTGATCAAGCAGCGAATCAAAGAGTTTGTGTATCCCTTTTGATTGGAAATAGAGTATGACGTCTCTTCATTTCCTTTCGTTCACAACTTGATGACCAAAGGGACGTTATGATTAACTTCGCTTGATTGCGTCCAACTTAAAACAAGCAAATCAACAAGTTTGTTTTTACAGAGGTTTAATTTTCTAGAATACATTTGTTGAATGGATTTTACTTTTCAAATAGTTACAATCTTGAATATTCTAACCTCTGTAACCTGCTTCAGACGTTAACTTTGCAAGCAGGGTGAGCGTGAACCTATCTCCGTTTTTTTCCCTTCACTGCTATCGCATCCCGTCTGTCACGCGTCTCGTTTGTCACGCATTCCGTTTATCACGCATCCCGTTTGTCACGCGTCCTGTTTGTGACGCGTCTTATTTGTCACGCGTGCCGTTTGTCACACCCTCCGTTGTCTAAATGGAAGCTTGCAACAGACTTTGATTTCTGCAGCCACCTTACATACTATTACACATGCTATAACGTCAACCTACATTTAATTTTTCATTCTAAATCCCTTTTCAGCCCTTTTCTCTCCACTTACTGATGAAATTAAAAATTATGCTATATCTATGTGGAGGCTATTATTCACAACACAATTCAATTATGACCAAAATTCACTCAGTTATTAAGATAACATTTATTGTAAAGATAATCAATAGTGAAAACAAGAGAATATCAACCGTTCATATTTTTTTGGGAAAAGTAAAAAAATAATCATGTTTAAGCAATAGCTGATTTTAGTAATGAGAAAACAACTAACATCAGCAAAACCCTTTCGGCGGTAGGTGCAGGATTTTCTGGAAGATTAACCAACAATTATCTGTTGTGAACCAGAATCATCAAGGTTAGTAAATTGACTGATGCTAGACTAATGCAGGGAGGGAATGTGAAATCTACTCAAAGATACGCACACAATGGTTCAGGAAATCTGACACAACTATCCTTCCATGGCTGAGAACAGCGATGGAGACTGGGTAACCTAAGCGTACTTTACCCTCTTCTTTGATCTCAAACTTGGTGTGAAACTTTCCACTCGGAATATCTAAAAGCTGAACTCTGTTATTCAGTTTATCACAAATCATCAGTTGACCTGCCTTGTCAACTGATAAGCAACATGGTTCATTGAACTGTTTGTTTCCTATTCCTTTACTACCAAAACTATTCAGAAACTTCCCCTCCCTATCAAACATTTTGATACGATGGTCATCCCTGTCTGACACAAAAAGATAGCTCTTGTATTGAATACAGTGAATTGGAGAGGTGATCTCACCTTCGCCAATTGTATGCAAAAGTTGTCCATTAGGAGAAAATATCTTAACAGATTTGTCATGGCAGTCTGGAACAATGATGTTGCCATCACTGTCTACAGATAAACCACAAGGCTCTGTGGGCCAGCGAACAAGACTAGAGTTGCCCCAAAAATGGCTCAGGTACTCACCCTTCCCACTGAAAATTTGGATGTACTGACTACCACTTTCCCCCACTATAATGTTGTCATTTTTACCAAAGGCTATCCCAGAGGGCGTGTGAAATTGTCCCTGACATTCTCCCTCTTCGCCGAATGATCATAAGTAAGTTCCATCACTACTGAATATCTGAACCCTGTGGTTACCAGAATCAACCACTGCAATTTCATCATGTTCATTGACTGCCACTCCCCACGGCCCATTAAACATTCCTTCAGAGGAACCTTGTTGTCCAAAAGATTAGACGAGTTTGAACTCTCTGGATTTTGCATTAACAGTAAAGGGACTTCCATTAACATGTTCACCATTGACTTTCACCGATACCGATCTGCGATACCAATGTTTATCGCAATAGCTAATCTTGTAAGTCCCATCTCTGTTACTTTTGACTCGTATTTTCGATTCTTCTCTTAGTTTAGGAAATGAAGAGTCCTTTATATCCACGGTCACACAGTCGCTCTCTTCAAAACATTGTTCACCCTTCCTGTTTCTCGTTGTCAACTCTATATTTGCATCAAGCCCTCTACAAAATTCAGAGATGCCTCTTCCACTGACATTTGACAGATGTGGTCTCGTTTTGGTGGGAAAGTACTTTAAAGTACCAATGTTTTCATTTCTCGTACTATCAATTAATTTTCGATTTTTCACGAAATCGTACTCCAAAAAGGATCCACTGCTAGAAATAGCTGGGTCGTTACGTTCATCAACTTGCCCCTCTGGCTTCTCTTGTAACATTTGGTCAATATATTTGTTAGGCTGTATGATTTCAGCGTCTGGGCTCTGCTTCAAAAGCGTTTCAGCTATTTCGAGCGCTGTTTCGGTGACTTTCATCTCTTCTTCACTTTCTAATTTTCCAAAATCAAGACGCTGAAGGGACTCTCTCGCCTGTTTTCTCACTTCTATAATCATCTGTTTTTTTTTGTCTTCGATGACTGATATCATTTTATCAGCGGATTCCTGTACGCTCCTCTCTACATCAGCAGCGTTTTCTTGAATCTTAACTACGTTCTCGGCAAAATTGCTAATTTTGCTTTTAATTGTCTGTAATTTTACTTTCATAGTCTCGATCAAAGCCTTCAACGCAACTCTCCTTTCGTTTGCAACTTCTTCCACGAGTGTCTTCGCGTGACCGTCGTGATCTATCAAAGCACAGGCGTTGCAAATGGCGACTTTACAGATCTTGCAAAAGTATTCCAGCTCTCTTTTTTCGTGTCCAGGTTTTGGACAAAATACTGATCGCTTCAAAACTTCACTCATGTCTTGATCTTCAAAGTCTTGGAGGGCCAATACGCGGTGATCTCTGTTAACTCGGATAATGTTATGCGCGGAAACACACCCGTCACACCAGAAAGCACAACAATTGAAACAGTATGAACTGTTAGCGCTTCTCTTGTCGCAATTTCCACATTTCACTCCCGCAGTATCGCATTCTTTGATAGCCAAAACATCTAGCAAGCTGTTAATACGAAAGTTGGTCGGCAACTCTTCGAGATTTCCGCTTTCTGGGACTTCACATTCTCTTCGGCAATCAGGGCATTTTATAATATTATGGCGGCCGCTCGTTCGTAGAATATTCTTCAAGCAACGAAGACAGAAACTGTGTAAACAGGGAAGCTGTTTTGGATCATTATATGAATTCATACACACAGAACAGGATACTTCTTCGTACAGATTGTCGAGCAGGGTTCTTAGATCCATGGTCGAAAATTCAACACACTACCTCAAAGTACAAAATAAAGCCGACAGCTGGATTCTGCTGTCAGTGGGTACACACATCGTCGATGACCTTTTTAATATTTAATTACTTTATTCTGGTCTTGTTTCTTTACTGTTTTTTTTTTTTTTTTTTTTTTTTTTTTTTTTTTTTCAGAGAGGCGCCTTTCTGCTGTGTCACTTGAAGATTGTGTACTGTTGCTGTCTAGATAAATTCAATTAAGAGCGGTACATTTAACTCTTTTTAACTCCGACGAGGAAAATTCGCGAGAAACCAGAAGTCACGGTTCTCCTGAAAGGCGGTCCTCTGTTTATAAACTTTATAAGGAAGCGTACCTATCGAAGGAAACGTCGAATTGAAAATTAGAAACTAACACTTTTTTTTTTTTTTTTGGCAGAGATATAGCAGAATTCTCGGACAAAACTAAACTAACGTTTAAACACAGGAAGAATTAAGTCAGTTATTATT